GGGCTCCTATACCGGGTGTGAAATCTCATGTCCAACCAAAAACAGCAACTGTAATCCAATGAAGTGAAAAATTAGAATAAGGCTGGGCAAGGTGGCTAATGCCTATAATTCCAGCACTTTGGGAGGCCAAGGCGGGTGGATCACCTGAGGTCAGGAGTTTGAAACCAACCTGGCCAACATAGTGAAACCCTGTCTCTACTAAAAATACAAAAAATTAGCCAGCTGTGGTGGTGGGCACCTGTAATCCCAGCTTCTTGGGATGCTGAGGCAGGGAATTGCATGAACACAGGAGGCAGAGGTTGCAGTGAGCTGAGATCATACCATTGCACTCCAGCCTGAGTGACACAGCGAGACTCTGTCTCAAAAAAATAAAATTAGAATGGGCATGATGTGGAGCTAATGGACCCTATGGCCTGTGTGTGAGTAGGAGGCATGCCGCCATCTGAAATTTAGTGTTCTTTAAGTCTACTTACGTTCAAAACTATCAAAACAATAATAATGGTTTCCACCTATTGAGCATATACTACCTTCTGAGACTGCTGGTAAGCACTTAATAGACATCATGTCTTTGAATCTTCTCAACAACCTAGACTACTAGTATTATCACAAGTTTTATGGTTGAGGAAACCGATACACTAAACTAGTCTGCCCATAGTCACACAGCTAGGTCAGCAGGAAAGTTTGAACCTGATTATGAAATCTGTTCCATGGCTTCAACCAAATACCTACATGTAATCTGAGGAAAGATGAAAAATAAATAAAATATCTGCCAAAGAGAATGAAAGTGGCTTCCCCCAGGCCACCTCACCTGTATCAGAATTGTTTGTTGTCTGACAACTTTCTGTTGGATAATTCTTAAGAAAGGATTCAAGTTTCGTCTCCTCCTCTTCCTCCTCCTACTCCTCCTCCTCCTCCTCCACCCCCTCCCCTTCCCCCTCCTCCTCCTCTTTCACCTGCTCATCCTCCTCCTTTTGAGATGGGAGTCTCAATCTGTTGCCTAGGCTGGAGTGCAGTGGGGCAATCTTGGCTCACTGCAACCTCTGCCTCCTGAGTTCAAGTTATTCTCTTGCCTCAGCCTCCCCAGTAGCTGGGATTACAGGCATGCAACAACACACTCAGCTTATTTTTGTATTTTTAGTAAAGATAGGGTTTCACCATGTTGGCCAGACTAGTCTCGAACCCTGACCTCAAGTGATCTACCTGCCTTAGCCTCCCACAGTGCTGGGATTACAGGCGTGAGCCACTGCACCCACCTCCTTTCTCAATCTGTTCAACTCCAAGCTCATATGGCTGCCAGACAAAACACAAGGTGCCCAGTTAATTAGAATTTCAGTTAAGCAATTTTTCAGGTAAAAGAATGTTTTAGGATAAGCATGCCCCATTCAATACATGGGCTGTACATGTACTAAAAAGTTACCCGTTATTTACCTGAAATTCAGAGTTAATTGAGTGTCCTGTGTTTTTATTTGCCAAATCTGCCAACATGGGGAGGAGAGGTCAGTGAGGTTTCAAGTTGTCCCCAAGGTGGTCTGGTTGCAGTGAAGGCCCCCTTCTGTGTTACAGCTGCCAGCTTCTCATTGTATTCTCACATGGTGGAAAGAGGGTAAGAGAGCTCTCTGGGATCTATTTTATTTTATTTCATTTCATTTCATTTTAATGAGCCAGGGTCACACTTTGCTGCCCAGGCTGGAGTGCAGGGGCGTGATCTCAGCTCACTGTAGCCTCGACTGCCCGGGCTCAAAAAAATCCTCCTGCCTCAGCCTCCCAAGTAGCCGGGACTATAGGCATGTGCCACTATGCCTGGCTATCTTTTATGTTTTTAGGTGAGATGAGGTTTCACCATGTTGTCCAGGCTGGTCTCGAACTTCTGAACTCAAGCAATTCACCCACTTCGGCTTCTCAAAGTGCTAGAATTTTTGTGCATTGCTTATTCAGAGGGTGGTGTTCCTAGCATCTCTTTCCTGAGGCCTAAAATAGCTATTTAAGCAGAGCAAGAGTTTCAATCCTTAGGGGCTACTATAGCAAAGTACCAAAGTCTGGGCGGCTTATAAACAATAGACATTTATTTCTCACTGCTCTGAAGGCTGGAAGTTCACAATCAGGGTGCCAGCATGGTCTGGTTCCCGTGAAGGCTTCCTTCCATGTTGCAGGCAGCCAACTTCTCATTATATCCTCACATGGTAGAAAGAGGGTAAGAGAGCTCTTTGGAATCTATTTTATTTTAATGAGCCAGGGTCTCACTTTGTTGCCCAGGATGGAGTGCAGTGGCATGATCTCAGCTCACTGCAGCCTCAACTGCCTGAGCTCAAGAGATCCTCCTGTCTCAGCTTCCCAAGTAGCTGAGGCTACAGGCATCTGCCACTATGCCCAGCTAACTTTTGTATTTTTAGTAGAGACGGGTTTCACCATGTTGCCCCAGCTGGTCTCAAACTCCTGGACTCAAGCAATCCACCCACCTCGGCCTCCCAAAGTGCTAGGATTATAGGTGTGAGCCACTGCACCCGGCCAACTGGGATCTCTTTTATAAGGGCACTAATTCCATTTAGGAAGGCTTCACCTTCATGACGTGATCACCTCCCAAAGGCCGCATGCCTAATCCCATCACATTGGGTGTTAGGATTTCAACATCTGGATTTTAGAGGAACAAATATTCCGTCCATTGTAGCAAGTAATTGGGAAGACACAGGAGAGGCTGCACATGGATTCATTTTACCCAACCATTGCATGTTCCTTGAGAGCCAAGTCCTGATGCTATGAAGAGATTCTAGGATCCCAACCCTGAAGGAACACATGATGAGGTGGAGGAAGCAGCTATCACACAAGGAAAACCAAAACCCTGCTGGCTCAGCAAAAATGCCAGAAGTGGGAGGAATTCGAAGATTCACACAGACACCCCTAGATGGCACCCTTAAACAAAAATCCCAGTGGAAACCCCAATTCTGCTTTCCAACATCCATCCAGGGAAAACACACACACACACACTAACTATCTTTTCCCAGGGAAGACACACAGACACACACACACAGACACACACACACACACACACCCACACACACACACACACAAAGTATCTTTTCCTGGGTGAGGAACCCATCATTTTGCAGCTGAACAAAGTGCATGAAGCCAAACATGATGGCTGAAACTTAAGAATTTAAGGACTCTTGTCTGTCCTATAACCACCATTAGCTCTTCTTTTTTGCTGTTGTGGAAGAATTATGGCAGGATTCTTTATCATCATTATCATCATCATCAACCATCATCCCAAGCTTATTTCTCTATCCATTAGCCTGATTATTTCCAGAAATATTAGGTAGTAGATGTAATAATACCAGCAAATATTTTTGAGCCCCTACTTTAGCTGTTAAGTTCTTGACAGTCACTTTTGCACCAGTCCTCACTACCACCCTGTGACTGCTTCTCTCTCTCTCTCTCTCTTTTTTTTTTTTGAGACAGTCTCACTCTGTCGCCCAGGCTGGAGTGCAGTGGCATGATCTCAGCTCACTGCAACCTCCACTTCCTGGGTTCAAGTGATTTTTCTGCCTCAGTCTCCTGAGTAGCTGGGATGATGAGTGGGTGGCACCATGCGCAGCTAGTTTTTGTATTTTTAGTAGAGACAGAGTTTCGCCATGTTGGCCAGGCTGGTGTGGAACTCCTGGCCTCAAGCGATCCACCCACTTCACCCTCCCACAGTGCTGGGATTATAGGTGTGAGCCACTGTGCTCTGTCAGCTTTTCTTTATCTAAAGACTTATTCTCTAGGTTGCTATGGCCACAGGCACAGAGGAGGGGTCGGTCAACACAGGTCCCTGTCTGGAAAGTGGCTGAGACCTGAGCAACAGCAGACCAGTGGCTGGGCTTATCCTTCTTCCTAATTTATGGTTGAAGCCATGGTTCAGAGAGGTTACTGGGTCACATAGTAAGTTACCAGTGGTTCTCAGCTCGGGATGATGGGGCTTCCCGGGGGACATTTGACAATATTTTGAGACATAACTGGAGGCGGGGGGGGGGTTCTTGTAACTGGCAACTGATGGGAAGAGGCCAGGATGTTGCTAAACATTCTACAATGTACAGCTCAGAAACACAGAATTATCCCACCCCAAAGGTCAATAGCTTACTATTGAGAAACCTTGCTCTAAGATTTGGGGCCAGGTGAAACACGAGTTCCTGCTCCAACTTGGATCCTTACAAACTGAGGAATTTAGGTGGATTTATCTTGTCTCTCTCAGCCTGGATTTTTTTCATCTGTAAAATGGAGATACTAATCTAATCCATCTGGAAGGATCTCACTGGCTTATGACATTTGCATTTGAGGAGTCATGATTAAAAACTTCCAGCCAGGGGCCGGGAGCCGTGGCTCACGCTTGTAATCCCAACACTTTGGAAGGCTGACACGGGTGGATCACAAGGTCAGGAGTACGAGACCAACCTGGCCAATATGGCGAAACCCCGTCTCTACTAAAAATACAAAAAAATTAGCTGGGCGTGGTGGGGCATGCCTGTGATCCCAGCTACTTGGGAGGCTGAGGCAGGGGAATTGCTTGAATCCGGGAAGCGGAGGTTGCAGTGAGCCTAGATGGCGCTACTGCACTCCACCCTGGGTGACAGAGCGAGCCTCCGACTCAAAACAAAAACAAACAAACAAAACAAAACTTCCAGCCAGGGCGGTACTTCATCATGTGTGTGTCTTGAGCTCCAGGGACGTTCCAGAGCAGCTGGGTTTGGGTATACAGGAGGGGAAACCCTGAGACCCTTCGAAAACTCACTCTCGGCGGCCAGTCTGCCTGTCCTGAAGGTGGTCTGAGCTTTCTTCAAGCCTGGAGTGCGGGAAGGGACACTCTCTGAGCCTCAGTTTCCTCATCTGTCAACCTCTGGGGGCTTGTCCCAGAGACTCCGAAAGCCAGCGTGTGGAGCGCGCTTTGCACCGGCCTGGGCGCGGGGCCTTGGCGCGCCTTTACCGGCTCCTTCCGGCCGCGGGCGGGGCGAGCCCAGCGAGGCAGAGCCGAGGGGCGGTGCCCGGGCTGGGGGGCGGAGGCAGGCGGCCGTGGCTCCTTCCCGGGACGCTCTTTCCTTCCTCCTCTTGCTCCTCCTCCCGCCTCTCTTCGCTCCTCCCGCCTTTCTTCGCTCCTCCTGCAAACGCGGTGGGGGCTGCTTGGCCGCCAGGAGCAGGTGAGAGCTGGGAGCTTGGGAGTGGGGATCCGGGGACCCCGGCTGGCTAGAGCCCCCTCGCCGGGCCGGGACAGCGGAGGAGCGCGAGAGCGACGGCGTGAGCGCGCGATCGGGGTCCCACGCCCGTAACCCTCTGTCCCGGCGTTAGTGTAAGGGCCGTTTCCTGCCTGTGAGTCACTGGAACCGGGCTGGGAGCGCACGAGGAGACACGATTCCTTCCCACCCCTTACACACACATTACCGCTAGATGAGATTAACTGGTGGCTAGCACCACCACACCCCGAGATTGCCCCTTCCTGGGGAACCTGGCATGGAATACGTCGAGGCAAACCTCACTAGGATTATTGAAAATGGGCGCCCTCCTCACCACGAGCCCCTCTTCTCCACCGAGGTCTTCTTCCCGTTCACTGCAAAGAGATCTGCAAGTATCAAAGGAGGCTTCTCCCCCAAATTAATAACAAAGTACTCTACTCCCCGCTGAGTTCCCATTACTCGGCCTCTGTGCCTTCTGGGGCGCGGACCCTCTCTCCACCTGCATTTCACTTCCTTCCTCCTCTCCTGGGGTCTCCCTGACTTTTGGAGGCTGAAAGCCTAGGTTCAGATGGCGAGGGGGCGGCCAGGTAAGCTTGAGTCACCCTGCAGCTCCCATCCCCCAACCGGAGATGTGATCCCCTCCTCCCATTTAGAACGTTCGAGATAGCCGTTTGCCCCTGGAGGTGCTAGGGTGTGAGAGCCAAGAGATTTATTTGGAGACTTGGGAGAGGGTTGGCTGGTGTTGGCCTGGCTTAGTCCCCCAGGCGTGGAGAGGGCGGGGCACCCCTTGGCCGTGCAGGGTCCACACTTTCCCTTCTCGGGAGACAGCTCCGTGCCTGGGGAGGCTCCTCCGAGGAGTGAGTAGCCAGGGGGTCTGGGAATTGGTGGCCAGGTAGACGCATTTGAAGGCTGTGGCCGATGGCATTCTCCCCACTCATCCGCCGTTGGACTCCCCAGACCTGTCTGGGTGGCACTTGAGGCTCCTAGGCCGAAGGAGAGTTGGGCCTGTAAGGGGAATTGGGCTTGTTTCTGGTTGCTGCAGAAATGAGAGTAGGGGAACTGAGTGCAGGGAACATCCCAAATTCAAGATGTATGAGGCCGCTTCAGAGAGAATGTTAGGTGGGGGGATTAGTCCCCTCCTCAACCTCTCCCTCCAAAGGGTTTCTTGTTTTACAAAAGGGAAGTAGCAGAGGATGTCTAGCTGGGATGATTAAAATGTGTTTTAATTTGTATACTAGACCCTATACATCTTAGTAGTAGATAAAATTACCCCCTGGGCGGGGAGCGGTGGCTCACGCCTGTAATCCCAGCACTTTGGGAGGCCGAGGCGGGCGGATCATGAGGTCAAGAGATCAAGACCATCCTGGCCAACATAGTGAAACCCTGTCTCCACTAAAATACAAAAATTAGCTGGGCGTTGTGGCCGTGACTGCAGTCCTAGCTACTCAGGAGGCTGAGGGAGGAGAATCGCTTGAACCCGGGAGGTGGAGGTTGCAATGAGCTGAGATCTCGCCACTGCACTCCAGCCTGGCAACAGAGCGAGACTGCATCTCAAAAAAAAAAAAAAAAAAATTACCCTCTGTAATGAATGCAGTTAGCATGTGGGATATTCAATATGATAAATGTGAAGATCTTTCAATTAATTTTGGCCATGTGGACAGAACCTTTTAAACATTTGTACTGTAGATCAGGAGGTCAGTTTATACGGAGAAATGGAAAAGATATCTCTGTGTCCAGCCAGTTCTGGGAAATACAAAGTTAATTTTTTTATATTTGAAAACGAGGGTTAAAAAATATATCTAATTTAACCAACTGCCTTTATTAAAAACAAGTAAAAATTGTGTGAGATTGGGACAGCTCTGGAAATTCCAGGCAATTTAGTTAGAGTATAATTATTGTGGTGAGGTCTGGCCGGGAGACGCAGTTCTCCTTAGCAAGGACAGACCTACCCACAAGTAAATAAACTGATGGTGTCTGCAAGGATAGAATTGGGAGCCAACCTGTGCAGTGATAAAGAAGACAACAAGCCTGCTGTTGTACAAGAAAACTTTCTAGGGAAAATAAAAGGCAATGAGATTCGAAATCGTTTATTCAGCTTTCTTACTTTCTGTATATTTTCAGCATTTTGTGAAGCTAAAAAATAAACATAAGCTCTCAGAGATAATACTGTTAACATTTTGTCGTTTTTTTAAAAAAAGTATCATAAACATCTTTTCACATCACTAAACAGTCGCACCATCATTTTAATGACTGAATTTTTCATTATTTAATCCATTTTCTCCTAATGGAAATACAGGTAGCTTTCCAATGTTTTGCTAGTCATTATAGGTTATAAACAGGGACATGGTGCACAGCCTTTTGGTACATTTTGAGATACCTGTTTGATTATTTCCATCATGTTCCTGGAAGATAAATTCCTGGATTGAAGTGTATGCAATCTGAAATTGTTGTGAATATTGCCAGGTTACCCTCAATCTGCATGCCCGCCATCAAGGCATGAGAATAGTAGAAGCTCTTACTGAACCAGTTTGATAAGGGCCACTAACAACTTTTGTTTCCTCTGGTAACAGCAAGAGACAGGGCAACCTGAGAGACTGGACCAGCACTGCACTGGGTAATTTACTGGTAGGAAAAATAATCCCCAAGGAGATTGAAGTGAGCTTCAGGATGGCAAAAGAAGAGCCCCGGAGTATCTCAAGGGACTTGCAGGAGCTGCAGAAGAAGCTGTGTTTGCTGATAGAGTTCTTCCAGAATAACCCAAAGGTCAGTTTCCAATCACTACATGCAATGGAAAATCCCTATTTAACACTAGCATAAACAAGATAGAAAGTTATTTCTTTCTCCAGTAGAAGAAATTTGGAGGTAAGTCAGGAATCTTTCTAGCTTACGACCCTGCCATGTCTATGCTGGGACCTTCAAACTCATTGTCTGAGATGACAGCAAGAGCATCAGCCATTGTATCCATGTTGCAGGCAGCAGGATTTGAGGAGGAAGTGATGTGCAAGCGACCTCCAATTTAAGGAGACTTCCTGGGAGTCACACACAATACTTCCAATTACATCTCTTAAGCCAAAAATGAGTCATTTGCCACTAGTGACAAATGCAGTTGTTTCGCTGGATAAAGAAGTCTGTGCCACAGATATCATCCTTTTTTGTTGTTTTGTTGTGATTTTTGCCCTGTTACCCTAACAATGAGAGAGGAAAGCCTACTTCAAGATATGAGTTCTGTGTTCCACCAGGAATCCAGATCCAATAGAAATATGATGTGAGCCACGTATGTAATTTAAAATTTTCTAGTAGCCACATTTAAGAAGTAAAAAGGGATAGGTGAAATTACTTTTGGCTGGGCACGGTGGCTCACACTTGTGAGCCCAACGGTTTGGGAGGCCTAGGCAGGCAGATCACTTGAGGTCAGGAGTTCGAGACTAGCCTGGCCAACACAGTAAAACCCCGTCTCTACTAAAAATACAAAAATTAGCAGGCATGGTGGTGAGCAACTCTAGTCCCAGTAACTCAAGAGGCTGAGGTGGGAGAATCACCTGAACCTGGGATGCGAGGGTTGCAGTGAACCACGATTGTGCCACTACACTCCAGCCTGGGTGACAGAGCTAGTGAGACTCTGTCTCCAAAAATAATAATAATAATAATAATAGTAATAATAATTTCAATAATGTATTTTATTTAACCTAATATATCCAAAATATTATTTCAACATGTAATCATTTATACAAAATTATTAATTAAAAAATGTTCTTGAGACATTTTACCTTCTTTTTCATACTCCATCTTTGAAACCCAGTGCATATTTTACACTTCTGGCACATTTCCGTTTGAGTTAGCCACTTTTTAGGTATTCAGTAGCCACTTGGTGGCAATGGGACTTCCGATAGTATATTGTTTTCTTGCATATTTACCGTTATGGCTTTCTTCTATATGCCTTTCAGCATTTGTCAGGGGAAAAAAAAAGCTTTCAGAGCCAATCCTGTTAACATTTTGTATGTCATTCTACACCATTTTTCTCTGCAATAGACCTATAATTACACATACGTGTATGTAACAAAATGAACTGTTTTGTGGTGTATTTTTGTTTTTTTGTGTTGGATAGCACAGCTCCACCAGGATCTACTTGAAGAGATATTTCTTTGCAGCCTACAACAATAAATTCTGGACTTGCTCCAGAATTTATCTGGCACTCTTTGTGGATTTACCAAGCTATTTTTAAATTGGACAAGCAGCTTTCTTGCCAGCTGGCGGAGACTATTGTTATTAAAAGTTAGCTCAGTAAGAACGGTCCTCCTTCCTGTTTCACATTTACAGCTGATTCTCATTAACCGTGGTAGTTACGTTCTGTAGGTCACTGCTGACACTCGTTAGCACATACCAAACCATCACTCCTAGGGGAAATACAGAATTCGGTTGCTGTGAGACTCTGTTCACAACATTTTTGTCAACCGATCAGTACATAACATTGTTTATGTGTATTTCTGTTTAAAGACACATTAACATATATTGTTGATCATTAACATTGGACTCAGGGCCACAATGGTAATGTGACTCCCGTCTTAAAGCTGATCACACACATGTAATTTCTTCACAAGGCACATCACAGCCTTCTCATGCTTAGAAACGCTAGAGAACATTTCAGCACTATACTTGGTGACCATTTTCTTTTCTTTTTTTCTTTCTTTTTTTTTTTTTGTGTGTGAGGCGCAGTTTCACTCTTGTTGCCCAGGCTGGAGTGCAATGGCACGATCTTGGCTCAATGCAATCTCTGCCTCCTGGGTTCAAGAGATTGTCCTGCCTCAGCCTCCCAAGTAGCTGAGATTACAGGCATGCGCCTCCATGCCCGGCTAATTTTTGTATTTTTAGTAGAGACAGGGTTTCTTCATGTTGGTCAGGCTGGTCTTGAACTCCTGACCTCAGGTGATCCACTGCACCTGGCCTAGAGTGTTTTTGAGGTCATTAGTAGACATGCCCACAACAGCAAAAAATGAAGTCACCTGCCACGCACATTCCCGTGGTCAAGCAAGGTGACACTAAGCCCTCCTGTTTTGCTCTTTAAACAAATGTCCTTATTGTGACCTATTTACTGCCACGTTTTTGCTTTAGGCTGGTGATTTTACTATTGAAAATGGTCACCAATTGGCTCACACCTGTAATCCCAGCACTTTGGGAGGCTGAGGCGGGTGGATCACTTGAGCCAGGAGTTCAAGACCAGCCTGGCCAACATGACAAAACCCCTTCTCTACTGAAAATACAAAAATTAGCTGGGTGGGTGACGTGTGCCTGTAATCCTAGACTCTTGGGAGGCTGAGGGGCAAGAATCGCTTGAACCCCAGAGATAAAGGTTGCCAGGAGCCACGATCACACCACTGTACTCCAGCCTGGGCAACAGCGAGACTCTGTTTCAAAAAAAAAAAAAAGAAAGAAAAAGGAAAAGAAAAAGCACTGCCAGTATTCATTTTAAGGTTAAAAATCAATTTTAATTAGGAGGCAAATTTACAAATATGGAATCATGAGTGATAAGGATTGACTGCATATTTCCTGGCACTGACTATATGCCAAGCACTGCACTAGGTATTCGTCCCACTCGAAGTTAGTAGTCACGTCCACCTTCTGAAGTAGGCATTTACTCAGCAAATAAACTTGCTTTTTGACGTTTCTCCACCCCTTCACATCAGATCCTTAGCCATGTCCATTGGAATAGGTTTGAGCTAGATTAACTACAAGGCCAGCTGACTCCCAGAACAACAGGAAAAATCATCAGTTCTCTAAATCCTGATGTTCTTCAGATAGTACTGAGATAGAGTAGTTCTTTTCAGAATTTTTTATTGTGTTGATATTAATTGTATTAACAACTCAGTACAGTGACGCTGGAGGAAGGAGAGCAAATCACCTATAAAACCATCACCGAGGGCCGGGTGTGTTGGCTCACATCTGTACTCCCAGCACTTTGGGAGGCAGAGGCGGGCGGATCATGAGGTCAGGAGATTGAGACCATCCTGGCTAACACAGTGAAACCCTGTCTCTACTAAAAATACAAAAAAAAATTAGCTGGGTGTTGTGGCATGCGCCTGTAGTCCCAGCTACTTGGGAGGCTGAGGCAGGAAAATTTCTTGAACCCAGGAGGCGGAGGTTGCAGTGAGCCGAGATTGTGCCACTGCACTCCAGCCTGGGCGACAGAGTGAGACTCTGTCTCAACAAAAACAAACCAAGAAAATCATCACTGAGAAATCCAGTGGTGGCTATTACTATTTTGATGGTGCCCTCTCGATACATAATTTTTACATAATAGCAGTTATAATCACAGCAGATGTAGTTCTGTATTTTTATGTTTTGTTTGTTTGTTTTGCAAAAGAAAAACAAACAGTCTTGCTCTGTCGTCCAGACTGGAGTGCAATGGCATGATCTTGGCTCACTGCAACCTCATCTCAGCCTCCCGGGTTCAAGGGATTCTCCTGCCTTGGCCCCTTGAGTAGCTGGGATTACAGGCATGCACTACTACTCCTGGCTAATTTTTGTATTTTAAATAGAAACGGGGTTTCACCATGTTGGCCAGACTAGTCTCAAACTCCTGACCTCAAGTGATCTGCCTGCCTCAGCTTACCAATTTATTTGTATGCTTATTTTATATAGTACCCTCCTGTGTTTCCATATAGAAACATAGGTCTTCAGAACAATGACTTTGACTGATAATATATCAGCAAATACATCAGATCCACATACCATAATTTACATACTCATCCTCTTGTCTCTGGGAAATGTAGAAGATGTCTTTTCCCACAGCTAATTTTTACCCTTTCTCCTGGTATTATTAGTAACCCCTTTGAACTCCAGATAAGAATACTATGGGCTTTTTCAGATGGAGTATGTGAAACAGCTCCAGCCTCTCTTTCAGGAAGCCTCTGGAATGCATGATCATTGCATTTGTCTTTTAGACTGAGAAAGACAAATCCGCTCAAAGGAGTTTAAGCAAAAAGCAAGTCGATAGGCAGGACCTGCTGAGACTTTTGGGGAATGTAAGGCACTCTGAGAATCCCAGGGCAGGAAGTGAAGCTGAGCTGAGCCTCAGAAGGAATTAGTACCAGGGTCTGGCAGTTCACTGGGGTCAGAGGTAACTCCCAGTGCCCTCTCTTGGACTGTGCAGCTTCTCTTCTTAGCCTGTTTTTTTGTTGTTGTTTTTGTTTGTTTGTTTGTTTGTTTTGAGATGGAGTCTCTATTGCCCAGGCTGGAGTGCAATGGCACGATCTCGGCCTACTGCAACCTCTGCCTCCCAGGCTCAAATGATTCTCCTGCCTCAGCCTCCCGAGTAGCTGGGATTACAGGTTCAAGCCACCACACCTGGATAATTTTTGTATTTTTTTAGTAGAGACGGGGTTTCACCATGTTGGCCAGGATGGTCTTGAACTCCTGACCGCTTAATCCACCCACCGCAGCCTCCCAAAGTGCTGGGATTACAGGAGTGAGCCACCTCGTCTGGCTCTTTTTAGCATTTTTTTGTGTATCTTCTTCACTCTCCTTTCCCTGCAGCCTGGCTTCCTTGGCTTTTCCATTCATGTAGGCAAACGTGGCTGGCCAGGCCATGTTAATTAATGTTAATTCTGTACCTCTCCCAACTGAAGCCCTCCAGGGAGACTGGCCTGGGTGTCTCAGTGCCTGATTCCTAGGAGCAAGAATCTGGTTGCCGCAGTCACCTATGGTCAAGGAGGTGGCAGCTGGGCCGGGGTATTTCCTTTCATTGCTGTAAACATGGCTTTGGGGGC